GTTCAAATTTTCCCCCACCTACGTCAATTTGAGCGACAATTATAGTAAGATTGGCTTCCACACTTAAAGTGTGGCTTATACCCAAATACCTGGTGAATTATTGGGTTATTAATATTGTGTCAACTTTGATATCTGCTCATGTCATCAATATCATTCGAAAGTGAACAATTTCATTATCTACTCATTGCACAATGTGATTTTATGTGATAATTTTGACAATAATAGGATAATCGTAAGTTTATATTAGTCTTTTATGAATCTGGGATTCCTATTATGCTATGGTGATACTGGGTTACTAATGAAGTGTTTATCATAGTATTTGATTAATACATTATTCTCTTTCTGTGTATATTTTATTTAGGTCCTACTCTCACTAGTTTGTTACATCTACGTTATCAACACCAACAGCCGAATCAACAAGGTCAATTTCAGTCGATCTCTGGACTTTTAGGCGGAGGTAAAGTTAATCCTAGTGAACATGTATCAACAAGACCCACGGTTATTAGTAAAACTAAGCCAGTGACTTCTGCAACAGATGTTTTCAATTGTAAAATATCATCGTCATCATCTACGGTTTTTGAATCACAAGAAAAAGCGGATATTTTGAATTCTGTAAATCCTCAACTAGTCTATTCTCCATCTTTGATAACACCAAACATACCATGCACGTATGTTGGATTGTCGTCGAATTACCCTACTTCATCAACTACTTTCAGCTCAAGACTTCCTAATCAAGTGTTAGATTATTGTGTTGATAACTCGTTAGATACATTTTATGTCCCTAATTCTTTACAGACTTGTTCAAATACAGTACCCTCATCCATTTCATCATATTCTTTACATTCCAATTCTAGACTTAATAATTATGTTATACAACGTAATGTACAATTAAACCAACCACAGGCTAGAACTTTGTTTGCAAATTCAATTAGTTCTCAAACGAATGAAACTAGTCCCAATTTAATACTATCTTCTTCCTCATCCTCTTCTCTGTCAACGGCTACTTTATCGAGTAATCGTTATTTTGTCATTCGACCAAGTGCAATCACACAAACACCTAATTTAGTGGTTTGTGCTAAACGCAGGGATACTTATTCCACATCTAATATAAATAGATCTTCTGAAGATGTATGATATTATTATTCCTATTTATTAATTTGCCGTTTTTGTATTTTCTCAAAGTATTTCCCTTCAGTATTCCATGTATTCCTCTTTACTCAAAGTTTTCTTTATATTCACCCTCTCTCTTGTTCTCCCCTCTTGACATTACAAAAGCAAGTCTTTTGTTGGTATGTAGTTAAAATTCATTTTTCCCGTAATTTTGCTTTTTCTTGTGTGTAAGTTATGTTCAGCAAAGATACTACTTTTACTGATATTACTGTCGACACTAATAAAACTATTATTAGTATTAGTAACATCTTTCGGTTAATCATATCATTATCAAATCATGTTTTTTTCTTAGTGAATTAATTTTGTACAAACAGAAAAAACTTTTAGTTGTTTTCTCTCCTGTTCTGTGTTTTCTTTTTCATGCGAACGACCAATCAGTAAATAAGCTGACTAATATAATGCTTTTTACTGGGAAGAGATAAAGAGTTTGCTGACTAAGGTATGAATGAATAATCCATTGTCCAGCGATCTCCACTTTTCTCTTTGTCCTTCATTTTAACTTCTCTCAAATGTCTTTTTGGGATAATATTTCATGTAAAGACCATTTTGTATTCAATCTGAAGTCGAAGTCGTGTTCGTAAAGATGTCCAGTGTGTTATTTATGTTGTGTTTAAATGTGATGTAAATATAGATGGTATTCTTGTAGTGGTGGATTATTCCAATAACCATGGTTGTCGCACAAATTGTTTAAGAAACTAATTCTCACTGAAAAATATTTGATCACTATACGGGTCATTTTTTGTTAAGGTCAAATCCAATTACAAGTGTTCAGAGAAAGTGACATCGGTAAAGCTGGCATTTCATCAATGTATAGAAGGACATTATTCTCATATACTGTAATGTTTCATACTATTTATTTAAGGCTTCAGACTGTAGTATTCGACTGTAAGGTTCTTGTTTCAGTTTTACTATACACTCAAACTAACGTTGTTCAAAAAATATGGCATCATGAATGTCATCAATCTGTTTGTATTATTTTTAAAGCTATCTTACAATACCTTCGTCATGTACCAATGTAACATGACTAAAGCAAGTGTCCAGAGTGGTCGTTTGTTTGCTTGTGGAGTTTCTATGCCACTCCGAGTTCCTAGTATTTGTTTTTGTTGAGGTCCCACTTTATGATTAATAAAGTAGTTTCTACCGGCATCACTATTATGCAGTCTAATTTAATCGAAATATTGCTTTTTAACTTATTTTACAGGATATAAGTCCATTACTCTGTAATTCTCCGGCGAGTATTAGGTTCATTGAAGTCCTTGTTGTTTCGCCTTTAGAGTTGATATTTTGATAAACCATTCACCCTACTCCAATAATTCTAATTTTTTAGCTAGCAGGGCTTTAGGGAAGTGGGAGAATTATATTGTCCTGTTGTGATGCTGCTGAATTTCGTTCCGCATGCTGATATTTGGTGATATCATTACCTCTTCAAACATAGCAGTAAGTATATTCTAAATCTCGCTAGAATATCTCTTACGACAAACTTCACCATGGTCATAAAGTATTCATGTAAGCAATCTGTCTTATGCCAAGTGACAAATGCAAAAGTTGGTTTCGCGAATCACACACGGGTCTTACAGCAACTGTAAAAAAACCTAGCAAATCAAACTTAATTTTATGTGCAGCACACACAACATGAATTCTGAAGATTTGCTAAGAAATATCATCTTTCTCTGAACAGGTCTGTGAAATTAATGTCAGCAACTCCGAGGAGTGGAAGTCATGAAATGAGTAAACAAAGACAGGCAGAGAAGTGAAAGAGATGGTCCCCAAATCATTAGGATCGATGAAATACGCGTCGACACTAGTGGTGATATGCTGACTTTCAGTGCACTCACAAGATCGACAGTGTTAAATTCGCGCAGTAAACTTATGTCTCCCAGCACAGGCCCTTCAATTACAACTGTGATGCGGAAAATTCCGTAGGCGAATGGACCCAGTCAGCAGCACTGAAAACGACAGAATGTCACAGTCGAAAACGTTGAACTGCCCATGAGAAAAATCCGCCACAGAATTGGTCGTGCGATCTACCCTAGATTTCTCCAAATAGCTAACAATGAGCACGATAATCCAAAACGTAATCCAACCGCCAAACAAAAAGACGTCGTCATAAAAGTACCCGAAAAACTGATAAATCGACCATGACTTGAAATGATTCTCTCATAATTATCAACCAAAATTACACCGTCTACATGGGAAAGGGTTCCAAACACTGAAACCATTGAAGACTCACTCGAGTAAAGTTCACGAACTCTGCCGACGTAGAGGATCTTCTGTTGGCCGGTCGCGTACTGAAACGCAACAAGGAATTTCGCGCGTAGTTCGTTCGTGAAAATATAATTGTTTAAGGTGTCCTAGAAGACACGGACACTGACTATGCAGTCTGTAATAAAGCAGAGCTTGAAAATAAGGAACATATTGACTGAACAAGTGATGTGATTCGCCATGAAGATTAGGGAATCTAGTCCCTGGCTAGTGAAGAATGTGCTCTCATCCTCCAATACCACAGCCGCCAATCTCAAAGCATTTCGTTCCACACGACGCAAAGTTAAGGCACAATTGCGAATTGGAACAAATGATTTAACTTGTGGACTTCCAAGAAAAATGAAAGAACGTCGAACTGATAGAGACTACGAACTTCGAAAACCATAGGGAGTCAGGTTGCTTGTCCATACACATAAGGTTCATTCAGATAAACGGATGGAGGAGGCGTTTCGTATCTAAAAAACCGACTACCGGTATATGGGGTGCCGCGAGTTCCTCGAACAAATGGAATAAGTGATGCTAAGAACACTCATTTGATAGGAGTATCTGAAACATGAGCATCTCAAATTTCGAACCAGAATCAATTATTACCTTCCATGTCTTTGCTTCGCGACCACCGAAATAAAGGAATGGGAAGCGATATTACATAGCAACACGTCACGTTTACACTTAAAAATTTATCGATGTGGTCAGTACGACTGACTAACAGCTCGTGGTATCTCGTTAGAGACATCTGCAGAATGCTCACCGCTAACAACGAGTAAGAAAATCGTATGCTGGGCGATTATCTCGTGCTAGTTGTTTCGGACACACTTATTTCCTGATTCTAGAGGAATTCAATCTTCCCGATTATGGCACACAAGGATGCATTCCGCAGCGAGCCAGGAAGTCAGTTTGGAGACTCAATTTCGGACTTTATGAAGAGAGCGCTTCAAATCATCTAACCTTTGTTCGTTAGAGTATAGGCGTTTTAGAGATAACCTTCTAAAGTCTTATGGCATCCGAAACACTTTTGTACACCCCCTAAACACCTACTTTAGCTCAGTTCCAAGGAAAACCTTTAGGGTAAAACCTAGAAACTGGAGACACAATATAACAAGTGGACTGTAAGCGCACATTTCACCTTTTAATAGTAGTCATGTGCCGAATGCTTCTGCAAACTTCGGTAGCCCAAACGAATTATCATAGATCTTTTAGGAGAAAACGTTACATGTTCTTTAGGACTAAGGAAAGTATCTCACTAAAATTCGCTAATTTATTCTTTTATCGTTAAATATACCAAGGTTCCCACCTGACAGTATCGCTGATCCACTTTTACCAGATACGGAAGTTCATTAAGTGAAAGCTTCTTATATTCCATCCGGGACCATTTGAACAATTTAGGCCACTGAGCCTCCAATCAAAGGTTTTATCTAAATTCAATCAATACATGATCTTGCGTAACCCTCCATCAACTGCTTGTAGTTAATAACGGTCTCACACCTGAAGATATGGAATTATACATAAACACCAGTTGATTTACTTCAGCACTCCTTAAAGATATTGAATATTGTATGAGCTGCAAAATGTTTGGCGCGAAAACATCCACAAGGCCATGGTTCTCGTGATATTAGATGGTCGTGGTGGGATGTGGTTTCGATAATTTTCCAGGAATTCATTGGACGCACGAGCGACTTGATGTAGACTTATCTCTGTGATATGCTCGTGCCGATCAGTTTTTCATATTCAACGGAGACATATCAAAAACACTTCCTCAATTCTTCCACACCACTTCCAAAGTCACATTTAGTTTTCCCGAATGTATTGCCTTACTCTGAAAAGGTGGCAGTAATGTTTAATGGTCTACAGACTGCACCGTCTTTGAAATGTGCCAATCCGATGCCACAAATTGGCCATCCATTCATTATCGGAGGTCCTGTTTTAGCAGTTGGCAAATCAACTTTTTCTCCTGCTGGGTATGGGAATTCACAGAGGCTCGAAAATGGGTTCGTTTTTCAACCCAATCTGACCCGAAAAGTGTACATGCCCGAAAAGTGTACATGCCCGAAAAGTCTTTGGGATTCGGTGCTTTTGGTGTTGTGTGGTAATATCGTATATTATTGTTACCTTGTAGGTTGGTTGTTGATCCACGAACAGGCGACCAGGTTGCTCTTAAGAGAATCCCCAACATTTTTGAAAGCGTTGTGTCTGCTAAGCGAGCGTACAGAGAATTAAAATTGTTGTTCTCTTTAAAACATTTAAATGTAACAACACTAATTTTTATTAAACGCATCTAGATTGTCCGCTTGATTGATGTCGTAAAAGTCAGCAGTTCCTCTTTGTTCAGTGAAGTGTACGTCTCGTTTTACTTTCATCTAGGTTTTTTATAGCTCCTTTCTTTGCGAATATATGGATACTGATCTGCACAAAATAATCGTGTCCACTCAATATTTGTCGCTAGAGCATGTCAAACTTTTTGTCTATCAGATACTAAGAGGTAGGTTTAGTTTTTCTTACTTGAATGTTAGGTTTAAAATATCTTCATTCTGCTGGTGTTATTCATCGGGACCTAAAACCAGGGAACCTCTTGGTTAATTCTGACTGTTTATTAAAGGTAACTTATTTTAGTCCTTTTTAAAGAATGACGATTTAGAGACTTCAGGTCATATGTGTCTATTAAATAGTTATACAGTAGTACGGCAATTTTTCCCGCAACCATTGGTTTCCAGAGGTTTAGTTTTGCTAATTGATGAGTCATATTGTTTGAAATTCTTTAAGTTAGTTTATTAAACCACTCCTGAATCATTGATACAGGTTTCCCAGGTGGTGAAAGTTAAAGAGAAACTTACACAATCTGCAAACATAGTCTACTTCTCTGCTATTATGAAAACTAACTTAACAAGTTTCTACGCTTAGGGAAGAAACTATATTTCGTCCGGGTTTAGAATAAGACTTTGTAGTGTGCTTTTTAGTAAGAATTACAACTAGATATTTATCTGTTGATCTCCCAAGAGCAGCTTGAGTCCAGGGTCCTGTTTGCACTGTCAGTTAAAACAAACGTTCGTCTCACAATAAATCACTGAATCCTTCTATATACAGTAATCAGTCCAGTTAGAAGAAATGTAATCAAACCTCATAATAAGAAATTTTCATGTCTTGTTTTAGCATCTTAATCATTTTGTGCGTGTAGTTCTGCCTTCATTTTGACAGAATTTGCAAAACAGGAATCGAAGCTGTGAATCACTTGATTTTTGTAGTTATGTACTCAACGTACTATCCAAGTCGTTAGTAATAAAAGAAGCTATGCTGCCAAACTTAAATATAGCACCGTATACCAATAACCGCTTTTCGCGAGACATGCATGAGGATGAAGGCTTTAGCACAGTTTCGTAAGACTAATATGTTAGGCCAGTTGGTAAGTAACTTAAACAATCGTGCATTTCTTTCAACTCTGTTACGCTTATTCGGGCTTTGGTAGTCGGTTACTACTACTAGCTGTCACCTATGAAACGTTAATTGTGGCCGATTACTTAAACCTGTAGTTAATTATTGAGTTGTTCTGCATCTAAAAGTGACTAGAAGCTTTCGATTATTTTAGTCATGATTGGTCGCACTGATACAAGTTGGTCTACTATCTATCTTCCTCCGGATTATCCTGTTCTCGCGTTTTTTTTTCATTTGTAGATTTGCGACTTCGGTCTTGCTCGTTCAGTGCCATCTTTTGGTGTAGAAAGATCTTGTAATCCACTAACCCTTGAAGTTGTGACTCAATTCTATAGACCACCAGAACTACTTCTAGGTTCGAATTTTTATACAGCTGCCGTCGATCAGTGGAGCGTTGGCTGCATACTTGGAGAGCTTCTTTGTCGTCAAATTTTATTTCAAGTGAGTTTAATAGCTACCACTATTTCAATAAATTTTGTTCTTTATATTTTGGTTCATAAATTACTGTACAAATTACGTTTCTGAAGTTAAGATTTCTAAGATATCTCAATTTAAGCTCTGATGTATGCTCCTTTGTAATCGCTTTACATTTCATGGTCACGTTTCGTTAATCGCTTACCTAGTGCACATTTGCCCTATGATAATTAACTGACAACATAAGTTTGCATGATAAAAATCGCCTGCATACCCATGGCCTTTGCTCTAATAGCTTGTTTTACTGGCTATTAAGTATTCTTCTTAATTATTTAGTTGAAACTTCTACTTTTGTACAAGAAACGTAGTCTTTATACAAATACAGTATTCATTTTTTAAACATCAATGACGGGATCGTCTATAAATTGGTGTTTTTGAAAAAGATATTTATGTTGTACGTTTACAAATTTTGTACAAGGTCTCAGATACACATTTCTATCGAACACCAATATATCTGAAAATAATGTCCAGAGCCTTCTTTCAATTGTGTTTTTGATCTCAATGATTTATTTGTCACAAGGCAAAACGCTCTTCAAAAATGCAACTTTTAACCCATATAGTGTTAAATGTGACGTTTCCTCAGTTCTGCACATACAGAAGTCATTCCCACCTACTGCCTTACGTTCGTCACATTCATACAAGTTACTCTAAATTTCTTGTTCTACTACAAATGTTACTATGATGCGGTGGCCGAACTTACGTTTCGTGACGGGCGGGTTGAGCTATATCGACTGGAATAGTTGTTTTTCGTTCTGCCACACCAGACATGTAGTTTGCCTAGTGGTTAGGCCGAGTGCAACGAATTTAAGGTCCGTTGGCGGAGTATTACTGTCTATATTTTCTACAAATATCCGGCATCTTTACCAATACTTTCTCATGGTGGAAAGAGAAGAGCGAAAAACGATTGGCGTAAAAAATAGTACATATTATTCTAATTTACAGATTTCCAGTATCGATGTCTGGAAAATGTGGAGCTATTTCACTGAAATTTACTTGCAAAATGTTTATTGTGTAACCAACACCAACCCCTCCTTTACGTTTTACATTCAGGCTACCAGTTCGACAAGTCCTTCACTATCAAGCCAGTTTCCTCTTAGAGTTAGTAGGCCAGGATTTTTCTATGGTGTTTGGAACCGGAAAATAAAAATCGCCCACAAATGTCTTACAGCACTCAAGCTTTTAGTTTCCGAAATTATGTTATTTCTTAGCTCCCCCATACTTCTGTTCATGTCGTCATCAGTCCTCTTCCGACATATTCCACCAGGAGTAAAATTCCAAGTTTAAGTAATGTTATTGTAGTGTTCTAAAATAGCACTCCAGATTACATTTTAAAAGTATTGATTTCAGCGCGAAGTCAAAAAGCAGACTTAAAAATTACATGTATATGTTATAATCGAAATCGCATACAGAACTCACGTAACCAGTGTGGAGAACTAGCGCAATTCACTATTCATATATTCATTTCGGGACCGGGAAATGAATTCTTGTTGAATTTTAACCGTTCGATGTTTGATTATATGAGATGGTAGGAACTATGAAGGACAAACGCACATATTTTTATGTTCCTAGTCCACTAAGAATCAGTAAAAGGAAAACATGGTCTCTGCAGGTAGCTTTCTGTCCTTCAAGATGTTAGGTGCATGTATAACAAGATTACGTAAAACTGAAAAGTACTTTTAGGAGGTCCTCAGTGTACCAAACTAGTACACAAAACAATGATCGTCTGTTTCAACAAAACTCAGCTAATCGTACATTGCTAGCAAGCATGAATTCTAAACATAAGGGGCGATATTGTTTGAACCTGAAACCTTCTATTTCGCATCGAATAACATATACCATATAATTTTCGGTCATTGTTGGGAAAATTCGGCTCCTTAGATAGTATGTGCTTGGCTTAAAACCATGCTCTATTTAAAGCTTATGTTTACCTGTGTATTCATGGACGTTCGAAGGTCAAAATAGAAAGAACTCTTCAAGTTACGTCTGAAGGCGAAAATTCTTTGTTGTCTAAGGAAAGACTTACTAAGTAATTAGTTAACAATGAACACGATTTCCACTAAGACGTAATCTGGGCTTGCTGTAAAAACTTCTTGTCAGCAACCGAAATGGAAAGTTCATGATGAGCCATTAAATCCAAAACTGCTTTTTTATGTTAATAAGTACCCGGAAATAACACACAGGTCACTATCCGAATCCTATGAGAAATAGAAATATCAAACATAGCCTGATAGAAATTTCACTCAATGACCAGAAGCAGTAATGCTCAAAGGAAAAAGAGATGGAAAAACAGTGGAGATAGGTTTGGACCAGTTTGGTAACCAAACTTATCAGAAACAAATGATTAAAGTAAGTTTTTAGCCAGACTTTCTCTAGAAAATGAAGTCTTGATTGATTCCTAGACCAAGCAATTAAAACGGCTTGCGAAATACCATACGGAAGTGTTCACTTGCTGTCGATTTGACCACTGTCCCAGAACAGCTTAAATGGACGGTCGATCTGGGTTTCTAACCTTTCAGCAATGTTGAGGTCATTAGTAACCTCCTGTGTGGAACCAGGAGGTCCTGATAGGTTAACTTCAAAATACCTGATGGTTGTGGTCTCACTTCATTAGCAAACCTGAATGATTTCGGAAGCTGGACATACTACCATCAGACTAGTTTCGATCTCTGAGAACCGTAGCTTAATAAATAGAATCTTCGCAGAGGAATGTTTTCAGTTAGCATTGTTTGACTTACTATCTTTTGTTATCACCCATCATTTAAGTAACTCGGTAACAACCAACCTATGGGAAACAACCCGGTTTAAGCGTGGATGTATATGTGTGGATCAAATATTCACCCTTCGGTGTTTAAATGTCATGTGTGGCAACTTTCACATTTATTGCAGGTCGTATGTAGACGGAACCTTATCGGTATTCATATGATCTATTCTCGTTTTTTCCGCGTAAGTTGGTTTCAAACTCTTAGCTCCAGATCCATTTATTATTTTAACTTTGCCGAACTTCGTTTTTCCTATGATCAAGTATATCTCCTTATTCAGTGGTAGTATCCAGGCTCTTGACACAGCCGTCCAGTTGGGACTAGGTAGAAATATTGTGGATTAAGAAATTTGTGAGAAAGATACGTATACAGAGGAATATTTCCTTGTACATATCTTCCGGTCGTCAAGTCCTAAGTAAACAGAAAAAGAAATGTAATATTTTTTTCATAGCAATGAGAGCGATAACATGCGAGAATGAAATATTCTTGTCGTATACAAACATAGGACTAGAGGAAAATTGTAGAATTTACCTGAAAATAAAATGTTAAATCAACCAATTGTTCGAACAATGACCATCGTTGCAGATCATAATAAGTCATTGAGACTTGATTATTATCTGATCGGTAATTAAACTTCTTGATAATTTATCAGATACATTGCAGAGTTTCTTCGTCAAATACATCATTCTGAATTTTATTTCTTCATTTTAGTCTTCCAGCTCATTTCGTCAATTGGATATGATATTTAATCTACTAGGATCACCTAATGCAATGGAATTAATTGAATTAGTTGGTTTTCCGTCATCTAGCATAGATTTTATTCGTAATTGTCCTGTACGACCATTTAATCATGTTGCTGTTTCAAGAATACTCGTTCCGGCTAATACTCATTATTTTCAGTCACCGACAGAAAATCCACCTGATCCTAATTTAATTAATTTGTTTACAGGACTTCTAAGTTTTAGTTCAGTAAGTGGAGCATTTAACGTTTATTATTTATGTGATACTGGCGTCTTCTCTTCTATCAAGGATACATACAAGGATGTTGCTCTTTTTGCGATCCGTCTCCTTTTCTCTTTCTTTTGAAAGCACAAACAGTCACACATTTCCTTAATATGTAGAAAATATATTGTTTAACTGAGTATCCTAATTATATGGATATTGTTCTTGTGGTACTGCCATAATGCTCACTCTCACGATTGTGTTAGCTGAAATCTTACTAGAGTACAGTAATTTCAAAATTTGTCGTTGACGTCATACCAATTCGTAAATACCTGAAAATATATGTTAGAAATCCCTTGATAAATGTCAGTCTTCTAATCATCTACGTTATACTTTACTGTTGTGCCGCAATCGGTCGTGTAATTTATTCTTATTTATTTATTTATTTGAACACATAAATATTGGTACAAGAGAGCGGCAATATATATGCGCCAAACAAAACAATGAGAATTCTTAGAGAAAAGGGAAAAAAGGTAAGGAGCGTAAAAACAGAGAACAATAACGAAGAGATTGGTGTAAGGTAGTGTCGTAGTAATGAGGGAACGGAAAGGTAAAATCGGAAGAAATCTCTCAGTTAAGGAAGATACAACCACTTTTTTATGAAGAAAGTAAAAGGTTACAGCAGGATCGCTACTGGCTTCTATTCCGAGCCATATCTGATCACGTTTCTAGCCACTGTGTAGCACCATCGCTCGGACCCCAACCAGGGAGTCGTGAAGGACCAACACAAGCCAGTCCTTTGCAGCTTTCTTTCATACCACGACACCATGTCATGCACTGACCACCTCTCCGCTTCCTCCAACCAGTCCCAGAGTCGGCAAATAATGCACGACGTGGAATTCTCTAGGACGACATTCAGAGAACATGTCCAAGCCACCGAAGTTGGTGTTTCAAGATGGTGACACCAATTAGATCATCGTCTCTGCGCCCGAACACACGATGTCGAACCTCTGCATTACTGACATGATGTTGCCACTGGATGTCAGCAATCCTTCGGAGACAGCGATGATCGAACACAGAAAGTCGTCTAACGTCCTCAACTCGGAGAGGCCAGGTTTCACAAGCATAGAGCGAAACTGCTCTCACCGACGCGTTGTAGATCCGACCTTTTACAGCCAGACTAACATCACGAAGGCGCCAAAGATGACCCAGATTGGCATAAGCCGCTCTGGCTTTCACTATATGTGCATTGATCGCATCACTCACGCCACCACCAGCACTTATGCAGCTATCCAGATACACGAACTTCTCGACTACTTCTATCTGCTCACCATCCAGGGTGAGTACAGGATTGGAATCCTGCCAGTCTTGTAGAAGTACTTTGCACTTCGAAGGTGCAAAGCACATACCATACCTACGGACACTGATTGTCAACTGATTAAGTGCGTATTGCATGCCTTGGACATTATCGCACAGTAAGACAATGTCGTCCGCATACTCAAGGTTGAGAAGTCTTTCTCCAGGCAACAGATCCACACCACCATTACTTACATCCATCAGAGCTGTTTCCAGAATGTCATCGATGGCAAAGTTGAAGAGGAATGGTGAGATTGGGCAACCCTGCCTGACCCCACTGCTCGAATGGAACAATGGAGAGAGGTGGTTGTATGCCCTCACTCTGCCTGAGGTGTTTGTATATAGGGCTTTTAGGATGTTAATAAACTTCTCAGGCACACACTTCTTCAATAGACAATCCCAGTGAACAGTCCTATCCAATGAATCGAAGGCAGCCCTGATGTCAAGAAACACTACGATTGTTGGTCTGTGATGAGTATGACAGTGTTCTAACATTTGGCGAAGGATGAAGATATGATCAATACATTTTCGACCAGAACGAAACCCAGCCTGCTCCTCGCGAGTCAATCTTTCTCGAGTTTTGAACAACCTACGAAGTATGACGGAAGCCAATAGCTTGGACGCAATGGGAAGTAGACTTATCCCCCGATAGTTGTTACTGGAACGACGTGAACCCTTTTTAAAGATAAGGACAACTATCGACTCATTCCATGACGTTGGTACACTCTCTAGTTCCCAAACCTTTGTAAACAACGTCGTCAGTTCCTTAGTCAAAAAGTCACCACCATCTTTAAAAAGAGCCGGAGGTAAGTGATCTGGGCCCGGTGATTTGTAGCGCTTCAAGAGTTGGAGTTCCTTGCGGACTTCCTCCTCGTTTGGTGGATCAGTCGTCACCGGCCATGGAGGGCAGGACAGTTTGACCGATGCTGCCGGAGCAGTAGGCCAGTTGAACCGCCCTTCAAACAAATTCTGCACATCGTCCAAGACGTCGATGCATGTTAGTGGTTGGCGCTCCGTCATCCTCACAGATTGTTTCACTCACACTTGACGTTTTGCTGCCAGTGGCTCGGATGAGTTGGAAGAGCTTCCGGTAATTACCAGATGCAGCTGCTGCTTCCAGCTCATTAGCACGCTCCGACCACCAGGCTTCTCGGTCCTTACGCAAGCTCTGCCCAATTTCCTTACGTAACATCCTTCGTTTGTGGTCAAACTCACGGTCATCCGGAGTAAACCGACAGGCTTCAATGAGTTGTAAGGAACCTGAAGAAACCCAGTGCTTATAAGCGGGACGTTTCGCGAACCCACAACTGACTGAACCCGCCATTTTCATGGCGTCATGCAATTGCAACCAATGCTCATATATACTTTTTGGTACAATGGTAGCTAGCCTAGAAACTAGCTCGGTTCGATACTTACTAGCAACAGAAGTTGCAACCAGCTTGCTAACATCAATCCGTTGGTGGCGGTCACTTCGTTGTCCACTGAAAAGTAAGGTAAGATTGGCGCAGACCAAGGCATGGTCAGAGTCCAGATAGGTACTCCAAAAGGAGCGGCAGTCTTGTATACAACCACGCCAGCGATAGCTGATCGCGATGTGACTAATCTGAGTCCAGGCTTGAGATGCAAAGAGAGGACGCCAGGTGGCACATCGGCGATGACTGTGCCGAAAGTTAGTGCTAGCCAGAAACAGGTTGTGGTCTGTGCACAGTTGCAGTAGACGGTACCCGTTATCTGTCCTGCGACTAACAAATCCCCATCGGCCACATAAATGACTCTCTTCTGTGCCTAGACGCCCGACCTGAGCATTCAAGTCTCTGGCTAGTACTACAATATCTGTCGAACGCACTTTCTGGAGAAGAACAGATAACTGGTGGTAAAACTCATCCTTGATTGCATCCGGGCTGCAATCTATCGGGGCATAGGCGGAGATGACGAAAATACATCGTTTCTCACGCCGATTTCTTCTCACTTTGATGGGACTTTCTAATCTAACAGCACATAACCAACCGACTGTTAGTGGGGATCCAATCGATTAGTGATGATGATCTCAACCAAAAACTTAACATCCTCCACAACCCCTATACTGATAATTAACATGTGCTTACTAGTGACTAGCTTCGTGAGGAAATTCTCGGAGTTTTATTGAAAAGGCGTGACCAGTGGAGCTAATCCGTGTCGGGTAGAGACAGGTATCTACCTCAGTACAATGGAAGTTGGTCGCTCAATTTCGTGGATTTGTTGATGTTAGACACTAGCACCATTGGATGCCGGCTCAGTGGTCTAGTTGTTTAAGCGCCTAGCGCGAGACAGATAGGTCCTGGGTTCGAATCTCGTGGGGAGCGAGATCGTGTGTGAGCAGTGCTGAGGAGTCCCATGCTAGGACGAAACGGCCGTCCAGTGCTTCCAGGTTTCCAACGGTGGTCTAACATCAATTGAATCATGATCTCAATCAAAAACTTAACAATCTCCACAACCCCTATACTGATAATCTTTTTAAATACTTGATAATTGCCATGAAAAGACGAAATTTTTCCGAAGTTGGTAAAATATTAGCTCATGTTACATTTTAAACAGTCTGATCAAATAATAACTCGTTATAGTATTTGTATACGAGATAAAGTGAAAACTAAACAAACGATAAAATATCTAAAGATAAAGAAATGAAACAGTTTAAATCACTATTCTCAATATTTAAAGTAAATACCATCACGGTTGGTTCATTATTGTTCTTGAATTTGTATTTCCGTGTAACATTGGCCTCAACAAATCCGATATTACATTAAATTCACTTATATAATCCGTTTCAACTATGTCATACATTAGAGGGGGATAGCTGTTTGTTAACTGCTTTGATCTACTTATTGGTTTTATTTATTAAAACTGCCAGTTAATTACAGGTTTGATCATTCCTACATTGAAGTTATGATTATTCTCTCTATGTATTTGCTGACACATGAATTGGTGTGCACAAAATGATGTAATGTACTCGTTTAAAATCTGTTTGAGTGTTTAGTGGAGGATGACTCCAATCTAGCCATTGGAGAACGTTTCTGGAATTGTCATATATCATCATTTCAATTCCGTGTCAACAGTATTCTAACGCAATTTTGAAGTGCATTATATTAAATGTCGAGTGGTTGAGAACCTGGGGCATTTGGAAAATTGTCTTTTTCTAGTTTGGGACTGTTCTACAATTTCGACTCAGAGCGGTGGCTCGGTCCTTAAGACGTCAAACTTCTGGTCAGTAGTTGTGACTATTTTTGTAGAGCTGCACAGAAGGGAATAAAACTGTTGACCTGGTTATCAGTGGTTCTTCAGTTACTGATATCAGTTTATGACGAAATTACTTTCAGACTTTTCAGATCCCCAGCTTTGGTTTTGTCCTCGTGTGACATTAATAAAAAACTTCAATAAGTATACTGATTGTTTCCTTGTGTGTGTTCTGTGGATTTTCGTTAAAATTCTATATTATTTCTCGTCTAGGATCTGATAGTTAAGTTAAATCCTTACCCTTTTAATCATTAGCATTCAGCCTGTAATATCCCCAGCACAGATCATAATTATTAATAATTTCTTTTGAATGTAGTCCTTTCTATTTTTTGTTATATATCTATGAACGTTTTGTATCAGTCGTTGCCTACATCCTATCAATAGTATACGTGGATGGCTTATATAAATCTTAAGATATGTGTTGTACGCCACTCTTGTGCTTTGTCAAATAATACAATACAAGCAATAAAAAGCATTTCTACAAATTATTTTTTTCAGTCGAAGCGGTTAACTGCTGAACAAGCGCTAGATTCACCATTCTTAGTTGGAGGTAGAGCTAGATTTCATACTTGTCTGTGCTGTTGTTGTCCACCACGTAATCAAAGTTCAATAATGAACGATTCACCTACCCACTGGAGTAATGTGGCGAAACAAGTAAATCATCATCTTTTAGCTGTTGGTTCAGTGGGTACTCTGTCATCATCTGGTGGTACACTACCATCTTCACTTCGTTCATCCATGCTATCACAAAGTAGAGATATAACGTTGCGCATCCCTTTATTTTTGTCACCTCATCTAATGATACCAACTTCTCTTATACGGTATAGTTGTATTAATTTGGAACCAACCTTTCAAGATGTACATGAATACACTTATTTAAATACTGAAATAGAAGTGAATAACTTGTTTGAAGCTAAACGTGAGTTTTTAATTTGTTGACTTTATCATTTTAAAGTAATTTACTCACAATGTATACGTTTACATATTCTACATCTTGTCACTTTGAGTGAGTGTTGTTTATACTATCCGCGTTGTTAGATCTAAAATGCTGAATTTAAATGTAACCTTCTACGATTTAGTGATTAGCATTTGAGTATTGTTCAATCACTTCTTGGCTGACCATTTTACTATTTTTTAATACCACCACTATTGCCTGATTTGATATCGTCTTTATCTTAAAATTAAATGATACTTCTATTATGCTACGTGTTTGTATATACGGACTATCTGGTTGCATTCCATGCGGTAACTGATCAATGGTTGGAAAGATTGGAGTAACATTTCCTGAAATTAGTCGCCGTAGCATAAATACATTCACTCTTCATCTTAGTCTAAATCTTAAGTTTTCATATTTCTTTATACACACGTTTTCAGTATAGCTCCTCATACCATATTCTCAATGTTCACTTCTTTTCATTATCAGTGTTGCTGCACTATCTCGATTCCTTTGTTATATATGGTGTAGATTTCATTTTATTTGTGCTAATATCACATGTCAGCTTGTGCTAATGCACAATTGTGCCTGGAATTTAAGTTAATAATGACTGACTGATGTATAAAATTTTAGGTCGTTTACATTTACATATTGAGTAAATCCATCCAATATAATATAAGATGATTCAGGCACTCAATGTAATTAGTTTGAAACAGTCATTGATAAATTTATTCATATTTCATGCGATTACATATAGTTGACATGATTCATTCGAATAATTTTATATGACCTTTTAGTACTTATGGATATAAGTTTATTTTTTGTCGACTTTATAGTCAAACTAGAAATGGAATTATGACAGTGGATTTCAGAATTAGACTATCAATTTTAGTCAATGAGAAATTACGAATTATGCCAAGGGATATCTAAGTATACAACTCTTCTTCAGTAGAATACATTCTATACGCATCTCATAACAATATCACGTATTAAGTCTATGTATACACTTATATACGTTGCTATAAGATTTTTTATGAATATTTTACTTCGATTGTTTACATTTGTGCCCAAGTTAAGACCTTATATATATATATATATATATATATATATATATATATATATCCTTTTTGCTTCGTAATTTATGTTTATACTTTTGTGAATATGTTTGTTTGTGTCGCCTGTTTCTATGGTATTATCCCTTTTTAAATCTACATAAAATTACTTCATATTAGGGGTATTTATAAATCATCTCATATGTTGTATATTTTAGCTTCATATGCTTTAACATTGCTTTATGCATATACAACGTAGACAATTTCGGTTGTTTATATTGTAGTCTTTGTAAACTAATATTTTTTCAGAGTAATTGTTGTTTTTATTAGCTGCAGGACGTTTTTAATTCACTGCTATTTATATTCAAACTTGACACAGTATGTCTTTGGATGTATGCTTTAGTGCTCTGAATAGTACAGTAAAGTAGTATGAATTGTTTCCAGTTAATATATCATTCTGACTGCTATCTATCTGATGTTTTTTGTTATTTAATGTAAAAAGTTTGGGTTCGGAGAGCTGACATACTAACTTTTTATTCGCATTTACTATTTATTTTGTTAATTTTATCTTGTACTTATATGGTATGGGATTTTGAGCCAATCCAACTTTGTGTTAGGCTCTATATTGGTTATGACTGACTATTACTTTATCAATGATATGAGTACAGTTATGAATAATTTTTGACTTATGCATGCCCCCAAATGCCGTGGTATGGCCGAGAGCGGGGTGGGTTCGCCCTCCCTCTCGAAATACTCTCACACGACCACGCGTATACAGCCTCTGTCAGGGAAGTCCTACTCACTGCCTTCTCGTGGCGGGGGTGTTGTTTACGAAAATGAGAGGACGGAAAGCGAATGTCCGGCGCTTTAACCGGATTTCAAATCAATGGTGCACATGGGTTCCAGTATCCTGCGGGAACAAATGGCGTATGAACCAATTTTCGGTCACCGGCTTCCATGGGACTGTATCTCCTTACGATGCTCCACTGCCTTGTGGGTTAGACCATCAGGTCAAAGGCTCGGGGTGTGGCCCCCTAAGATAACCAACCACCTACTTCGGTTTGGGCACCCGGGCAGTATCACAGCCCACACACAATTAATGAACTGAACTGTCTATGATCATGGAAACTAATTCTCTTTCTTCGACGAACATTCAAATGATTCTATTATTATTATTATTATTATTATTATTATTTACTACGTCATTATTCACCCTCCTTTATCCCCACTCTGTTTATACTTATTTTTTTCGACTTATACAGCAACTCGTCTTTGGTGGAAATTCGACTGTATCTAAACGTTCTCGAGTCACTGCCCGGTTGAAAATTGTATGTTACCACTGAATATGAGTACTAAAGCAGTTTTTCTGAAACCACGGGCGCCATTCAGACTGGCTGCCTTTAACGTTCGCACACTTATGCAGGTCAGACAACAGATAGGGCTGTCTATGTCTTTGGAAAGTCTTCATATCGATGTCTGCTGTCTATCCGAGACCCGTATTCAGGACTCTGGTGAAGTACTACAAATTCGCTCTTCATCTGTCGCTTCAAAAAGCTTGTTTCACGTGCGCTTATCCGGGGACCCTGTGGCATCTTCGTCTGGTCTTGCTGGCTTTGGTGTCGCACTAAGCGCTAGAGCTGAGGCAGCACTAATCGATTGGATCCCCACTAACAGTCGGTTGGTTATGTGCTGTTAGATTAGAAAGTCCCATCAAAGTGAGAAGAAATCGGCGTGAGAAACGATGTATTTTCGTCATCTCCGCCTATGCCCCGATAGATTGCAGCCCGGATGCAATCAAGGATGAGTTTTACCACCAGTTATCTGTTCTTCTCCAGAAAGTGCGTTCGACAGATATTGTAGTACTAGCCAGAGACTTGAATGCTCAGGTCGGGCGTCTAGGCACAGAAGAGAGTCATTTATGTGGCCGATGGGGATTTGTTAGTCGCAGGACAGATAACGGGTACCGTCTACTGCAACTGTGCACAGACCACAACCTGTTTCTGGCTAGCACTAACTTTCGGCACAGTCATCGCCGATGTGCCACCTGGCGTCCTCTCTTTGCATCTCAAGCCTGGACTCAGATTAGTCACATCGCGATCAGCTATCGCTGGCGTGGTTGTATACAAGACTGCCGCTCCTTTTGGAGTACCTATCTGGACTCTGACCATGCCTTGGTCTGCGCCAATCTTACCTTACTTTTCAGTGGACAACGAAGTGACCGCCACCAACGGATTGATGTTAGCAAGCTGGTTGCAACTTCTGTTGCTAGTAAGTATCGAACCGAGCTAGTTTCTAGGCTAGCTACCATTGTACCAAAAAGTATATATGAGCATTGGTTGCAATTGCATGACGCCATGAAAATGGCGGGTTCAGTCAGTTGTGGGTTCGCGAAACGTCCCGCTTATAAGCACTGGGTTTCTTCAGGTTCCTTACAACTCATTGAAGCCTGTCGGTTTACTCCGGATGACCGTGAGTTTGACCACAAACGAAGGATGTTACGTAAGGAAATTGGGCAGAGCTTGCGTAAGGACCGAGAAGCCTGGTGGTCGGAGCGTGCTAATGAGCTGGAAGCAGCAGCTGCATCTGGTAATTACCGGAAGCTCTTCCAACTCATCCGAGCCACTGGCAGCAAAACGTCAAGTGTGAGTGAAACAATCTGTGAGGATGACGGAGCACCAACCACTAACATGCATCGACGTCTTGGACGATGTGCAGAATTTGTTTGAAGGGCGGTTCAACTGGCCTACTGCTCCGGCAGCATCGGTCAAACTGTCCTGCCCTCCATGGCCGGTGACGACTGATCCACCAAACGAGGAGGAAGTCCGCAAGGAACTCCAACTCTTGAAGCGCTACAAATCACCGGGCCCAGATCACTTACCTCCGGCTCTTTTTAAAGATGGTGGTGACTTTTTGACTAAGGAACTGACGACGTTGTTTACAAAGGTTTGGGAACTAGAGAGTGTACCAACGTCATGGAATGAGTCGATAGTTGTCCTTATCTTTAAAAAGGGTTCACGTCGTTCCAGTAACAACTATCGGGGGATAAGTCTACTTCCCATTGCGTCCAAGCTATTGGCTTCCGTCATACTTCGTAGGTTGTTCAAAACTCGAGAAAGATTGACTCGCGAGGAGCAGGCTGGGTTTCGTTCTGGTCGAAAATGTATTGATCATATCTTCATCCTTCGCCAAATGTTAGAACACTGTCATACTCATCACAGACCAACAATCGTAGTGTTTCTTGACATCAGGGCTGCCTTCGATTCATTGGATAGGACTGTTCACTGGGATTGTCTATTGAAGAAGTGTGTGCCTGAGAAGTTTATTAACATCCTAAAAGCCCTATATACAAACACCTCAGGCAGAGTGAGGGCATACAACCACCTCTCTCCATTGTTCCATTCGAGCAGTGGGGTCAGGCAGGGTTGCCCAATCTCACCATTCCTCTTCAACTTTGCCATCGATGACATTCTGGAAACAGCTCTGATGGATGTAAGTAATGGTGGTGTGGATCTGTTGCCTGGAGAAAGACTTCTCAACCTTGAGTATGCGGACGACATTGTCTTACTGTGCGATAATGTCCAAGGCATGCAATACGCACTTAATCAGTTGACAATCAGTGTCCGTAGGTATGGTATGTGCTTTGCACCTTCGAAGTGCAAAGTACTTCTACAAGACTGGCAGGATTCCAATCCTGTACTCACCCTGGATGGTGAGCAGATAGAAGTAGTCGAGAAGTTCGTGTATCTGGATAGCTGCATAAGTGCTGGTGGTGGCGTGAGTGATGCGATCAATGCACATATAGTGAAAGCCAGAGCGGCTTATGCCAATCTGGGTCATCTTTGGCGCCTTCGTGATGTTAGTCTGGCTGTAAAAGGTCGGATCTACAACGCGTCGGTGAGAGCAGTTTCGCTCTATGCTTGTGAAACCTGGCCTCTCCGAGTTGAGGACGTTAGACGACTTTCTGTGTTCGATCATCGCTGTCTCCGAAGGATTGCTGACATCCAGTGGCAACACCATGTCAGTAATGCAGAGGTTCGACATCGTGTGTTCGGGCGCAGAGACGATGATCTAATTGGTGTCACCATCTTGAAACACCAACTTCGGTGGCTTGGACATGTTCTCTGAATGTCGTCCTAGAGAATTCCACGTCGTGCATTATTTGCCGACTCTGGGACTGGTTGGAGGAAGCGGAGAGGTGGTCAGTGCATGACATGGTGTCGTGGTATGAAAGAAAGCTGCAAAGGACTGGCTTGTGTTGGTCCTTCACGACTCCCTGGTTGGGGTCCGAGCGATGGTGCTACACAGTGGCTAGAAACGTGATCAGATATGGCTCGGAATAGAAGCCAGTAGCGATCCTGCTGTAACCTTTTACTTTCTTCATAAAAAAGTGGTTGTATCTTCCTTAACTGAGAGATTTCTTCCGATTTTACCTTTCCGTTCCCTCATTACTACGACACTACCTTACACCAATCTCTTCGTTATTGTTCTCTGTTTTTACGCTCCTTACCTTTTTTCCCTTTTCTCTAAGAATTCTCATTGTTTTGTTTGGCGCATATATATTGCCGCTCTCTTGTACCAATATTTATGTGTTCAAATAAATAAATAAATAAGAATAAATTACACGACCGATTGCGGCACAACAGTAAAGTATAACGTAGATGATTAGAAGACTGACATTTATCAAGGGATTTCTAACATATATTTTCAGGTATTTACGAATTGGTATGACGTCAACGACAAATTTTGAAATTACTGTACTGTACTGAGAGACTTCTTTTGATTATTCCCGTCTGTTCCCCTACTATTGCTATTATTATTACACTACGTTACACCAATCCCTTCGTTATAGTTATTTTTTTGTTATAATCTATTTTACGTTTCTCAATTTTTTTTCGTAGATTCTCATTGTTTTGTGTGTTATATTTATATTCCGAGCACTCCTATACCAATATATATGTGTTTAAATAAATAAATAATAATAAATAAGCATCGTAACTAAAAATTATTTTACACATTGTCACGCGTAACCTGAATAGTAAATTTTTATTTGTGTTGCAGTCAGAATTCGTCTACCTTAATGCTTGTTTACAAGTATGGAAATGAGAGTATATTTTAAAAATTTGTTTATAATTTTTTAAAGTCAGTCATTCATACTACTTTTTCTTTATACATTATATATTCAGAAATATTATGGAATCTAATTCAGCAATATTTCCAAAGAGATCCTAATCGTACCCGAGTTGTGATAAACAATTCTTCGCCTAATTTTCAATCATTTATAAAGTGAGCACATTATACGGTTGTTTTTAGTTCATTACGTTTATTAATTGGGTAATGATTTATCATATTCTTACTTGGTGACTGAAACACTTTAGTTTTACTGTTAGGTTGTAAATCCGAAACCGGCTCCACCTACTTCGATTTGACTAGCTTTAAAATATCACTAGAATTTGCACTATTGAAGTATGGCTCAAAGTTGAATTCAAACATCTATACATGGTCCATGAGTAAATTAGCCAATCAGTTGACAAAACTACGGGACTAGTTTTTTATCTAGGTTTCGAATTCTTTGGATTCTCTTTTTAAATCACGGGTCGACATCTGCTTCAAAGCCGTTTCTCACGAGTCCTTTAATGTTTCAGGTCTAAAGTCGCATGTAGTCGTGACTTTTTGTTGGAGTCCTGAACTAGGTCCTTTACTTCTGAAAAATTCTCCATATAGTTTCATTTTATGATAAGCATTAATTTCAGCTTTCTTGCGAAGTAATGACTTTCAAGTTGAATTTTAGTTCAACCTGATGAGTAGGTTGTGTCTTTATCGTATATTTTATGATGTTAAATCTAAATGATGAGAGCTGTGACATTCGTCTGTTTTGTGGATGTCATTATTGTAGTTCCACTGAACCTATTCGTCTGAGAAGATACACTCACATCTACTATGGTTTTTTTCCAATATATTCGTTTTATATATTAGATTGGTTCAGTACTGTGTGCATTCAAATTAACCTTTTTTCATCTTTCACTTGGGTAAAATGTTAACGTTTCCGGTTGTTAATCCTATAGTTTTAGCTCTAAATTCTGTTTATATGAATATACAACAGTTCTAAGTTACTTTTCTTTTGATTTCCTAATAATACTGATATGTCACTTACATTCATGGTACATACATCCTCATTTTTATCAGATATTTATTACTTTAAATCTTTTAAAATGTTTGTAGTTTGTTGATATTTTAATCTGTATTCCATAATATGTTCCAAAGTTTCCCTATAAAATATATGATTTCTGTCTTATTGACTAAAATATGCATAAGATCAACATTTTCTAGTCTACATAATTGTTAATACTTTTTGGTGGAGTTTTGTTCTCTGAGCTGGATGGTTTGGTCGTGGAGCTTTCATCGTTCTTCTGAACGACACCATCAGCACAAACTTCAGATAGAAGTGAAATGTTCTAATTTCTCCATATGTGTTTCACAGCTTGTTCTGTGCACCTCGATGTTGATTGGTTCTTATTGACCTTAAATTTATCATTGTTTACTTCTTTGTTTTGGTTGTGTCTCCCATTGGTTTGATTTTTGTTCCTATATTCATGAATGATTTTCCTGATTGGTTGATAAATTGGATTGATCTCAATATGTTTGTTGATCGCTGATTGACCTGAGTGCCAGGCTTCTAAAAATTCTCTGGTGTTTTTGGAGTTTCCTCTGTCTAAGATTTCTACATTTTTCCAATCGAATGAGTGTCCGTTGTTATCCACGTGTAAGTGAAGAGATATCATGGCGTTTGACTGCTAATTGATGTTCATGTAGGATTGATTGTAGTGATTTTGTCGGTTTGTGTGCCACACCTATCTTCTTCACCATCTCGATTGTTAGTACTCCATTCTATTATTCTATATTCTGTTTGATGAATCCTCATCATTTCTTTTCTATGTACTCATATGACCAATTGTTAGTATACAATAGAGATTCGTTTATATCATAGTTAATAAAAGCATATGATAGTTTATTGCTTAGTTTTTCATAAATATGCGTTCATGTACTAGTTTTTTTGTCATATTTATTGAAATGGTCTTAAAATGTTTTTTTTTACTTAACCGACTAAATTACATGTCAGTAGAATAGTGTTTTAACCATTAAACATAATTGTTGATAAAATCTTTAAATCAATTAACCTTAGTTACAGTTTTGCTAATAAGTTTAGTAGATTTAAATTGTACTTATTTGTATTTATCGATATCCACTTTTCAATGTAAAATAGATTTTGTTTCCTTTTTGATAACCCCATTAACATTATCATTATTTATCAGTTGAGACTATTGTTATAATTTATATTAACCCATTTTAAGAAAACAATATAGAATATAAAAATATCCGATATTATTTAAACCAAACAAGTACGGCATTAATAGTATGACTGTTTTGAATTATTATTTATTTTAAAGCATATAGTTGGATTTACATGATCATGATATAGTTTTATTGTGTTAGGTCATTGTTTACTGACTAAAATAGGAATATCATATTAAATAACTAAAGATTATTTAATCAGAAACTTACAGTGGTCTTGAGTGCTGTTAGAGAGAGGTATGAGTACGATTATCACTTCCCGGTTGCCCACTCCATGGAAGGGTTCTTCTGGAGGTGCCTGAAAATGAAATTGGATTAGAGGTGGTCTTAGTGACCTGAGAGCGTTGCCATAATGCCCAAGAGACAACTGCTTGAGGTCAGTCACACATGAACTTTTTGTGAGTTATATTTGTGTTAGCTACGTACTTGTTGAGACCTTACTACCGGAGACGGATATACGTAGGATAAGATGAGGTGTGTATTTTTAGGATCGACCTTTTCTAACCCACTCCTCCTTGTGGGAAGGTAGCATCGCTGTTATGCTGTTTGTCTGAAGGAAACATCTTACTGCTGTCACACCTCTGTACAGTCAGCAGTTCGCCTTCGGACCTTGGGTTTGTTGCTTTAGGTCTTACCGCCCTTCAACCAACTTGTTTGACATGGTAGGACCTTGAGGAACTATTGTTTCAGCCAATATATCTCGATTGGTTCATCACGATAAGCAAGCTCGACCACCACGTCAAGGTAACAACAATGGTCATTTTGACTGACTGACTGACTGAATCAGAAACATAATAACAGTCAGTATTAGTTTAAACTGGTTATAAAATTGTGAAACTCTTCACTATTTTTATATTCATTTTATTTTAAAATCATTGAGTGAAACAATTTAACAATGATAAATAATCATTCAGATTATTTTTTCTTCCATGTTTTCTTCTTTGTTTTCCAAGTTATCTCTTTTATTTCCTCTAATTATTTTCTAACATTATCCTATTTCTACATGTATAACACCTTGAAGCAATACACTGTTACTATGCAATATCACATTTATTGAATTGATATTATTCTTATCTATTCAATATCATAATCAATTTTAGAACGTTTTAGTTATTAGTGGTGTGATTATGATACTATTTTTTTAAATTTCTTTTGGAATTGTCTTTTAGACAAACATCTTAGAAAGTTAATCATGGAATGTCAATTTGTACCCTTATTATCATTGTTATTATTATTATTATTTTCTAGTTGTTTATCACTAATTATATCTTCATTTACATTTAAACAAATATAATTGATGTATCAAGTAAATTATTTACATAAATTAAATAAGATATAATAACAGAATTGTAATAAATCTTTGCTTAGATTGTAAAAGATCCCATATTAATTGAAATAATCTATTATATTAAATTTAGATTTATATCAGATGGGTTTTGTGGATTTTATAGTAATTTCAATGGTTAAGATCATGAGTCATTTGAAGCTAGACCACCATGGAAAACCTGGAAGCACTGGACGGCCTTTTCGTCCCATTGGGGGGCTCCTCAGCAGTGCGCATCCAAGACCTCGCCACCTGCGGGGTTCGAACCCAGGACCTACTGGTTTCGCACGCGATCACTTAACCACTAAACCACTGACCCGGCATCGAACGGTGTTAATTTCTAACTTCAACTAATCCACGAAGTTGAGTGACACATCGACCATTGTCTCCAGTAAGTTTCTATCTCGCAACAGACCTGCTTGAGCTCCACTGAGGAGTCCCACAATAGGACGAAACGGACATCCAGCGCTTTCAGGTTTTCCATGGTGGTCTAGCTTCAACTGACTCATGATCTTAACCATTGAAATTTAGATTTATTGTTAAGTAATTTCATGTAATCAGTCCATTCTATACTGTTTTTCCTTTCTGTCTTTTTTGTTTTTCACTTCTCCACAAGGTTATTCTTTTTTATCTATAACATTCATATAGTTTTATTTATTTGTTTTCTTTCTTTTTAATTTATCTTTTATAGGTCTTCAGTTGCGTTCAATTAATATTACAACATGTTATAATGAAGACTATTTATATAGCTACAAAAGCTTTATATTTCTATTCAATGTTAATTATTGTATTATAAAGTTTTGATCCCCTCTTTATTAATCAATTCATGTAATATGTAATTATTCTTTTTGATATATCTTCTTTTTTTTGTGGCCTTTCCTATTATTACTGCACATTTATATGTATATTTACAGTTGAATGTACTACAAATACGATTTCTTCCTGTATTATTATTGTGACTATTTTTCGAGTGCCTTTAATTATCATTTTCTGTTCTATTTGTTGTTGCTGTTTTTTTTGTTAAAACAACTGAGCAGTTGTACTTAATTATCTAATTGGCTTTAATCTAATCTATTGCACGTATTTCGGAAAAATGAATCTTGTTATATATATTCTCATCTTCTTTGTATCTATTCTAGAAAAGTTCTTTATTCTGTCTATATACGTAACTTGTAACAGTGTGTACATTCTGAAAGTTTTCTACTATTTTTTTTCTTTCGTTCTCATTTTCTTCATTGAATTATTGTATAATCAAGTCAACTGATTCTTTTTATTAAATATTGGGCTGTGCTGTCTATGTTTCAACTGCGTTTAAAGTGGTTAATTCTTACAATCCATCATATATATATATATATATATATATATATATATATATATATATTCTTTATATTGGTTATTTGCTTTATATTCTTATTATATATATATTTATTAATCAGGCTGTGATATATCAAAGGGCACAATTTCAAGTATATTCTTTAACTAAATTTGTTATATACATATATATGGATTAATATTTACGCTTGCCATTGGTATCCTAGTCATCATTCCCATGTTTATACTTCAACAAATTACGTACATTGTTTTTGTGATTACTCTTTTTTTTCTCTTGTTAAAGCACATATTTCTATTTTAACTCTAATAACTAGTATAGGTCTGTATTGTCCAAATCCATTAATGTTTATATGTACTTTTTTATTATAAATTAAATTCACTTTATTTGGTGTTTTTATAAATTCTGTGTTCTCATTTTCAAATAGTAAGGTTTATTTTTAATGTTAATTATCACCTGTTGATCAGTATGTGAATACATGAGTACTATAGGTACTTGTGATTTTTAGACTTAAATAGTGGCGGTATCACAGTCAGTCACGACTAGTTTTTTAATGGGTTTTTACGATCGTTTATTGGGAACCTATTGTACGTTTGCATATTCTTCTTGTCCGTCAACAACACGTAAAATTCAACCTTATTTTCATACTGTGTCATAGTCTGACAAAACTTTTTGATCATTTCCGGAACATTTCAGTTGTTCTTTTGATCAGTGTTCAGTACTTAGGTAGAACATATCGTACAACTGGAATGGAGATTTTTCCAATAAAAACATCTGGTTTACTGACATTATTGTATAGAAAATTGCTACTTCAGAATCTGATTTAAGACAAATTAGAATTGAATCGCTGTATATATTACTTTTCGTAGTTTAGGATGGAATCGTAGAAATTAAACACAAATAAATTCACTTGTTGTTGTTTACTTGTCTGTTATTTGTAGTCTAGGCTGGATGTCATGCAGTGTGCTGAAGCTCATTTCAAATCAAAGAATTCAAAAGCCGTTTTCATCTCATTACAATTTTCTGTTTGTCTAAGTAAGCCGCTAATTTTAGAATCCAGTTTCTCTGAATTCAGTTTATTACTCGCAAATATATATATTTTTTACTAATCAGCAAACATTCTTCAAAATTAATTGATAATTTATGACATCATCTTATTTCTATCAGTTTTTAGTTTCTTGGTAACCAGATACACCTACACGACGTTAACCCTCGAAATGCCTACTTTTATCACTGATAAAAGCTGGAAAGTCACAGTTTATAGTCAACTTGGTATGTTTAGCTGAATCCTGTATTTTTAACAAATTTAACGTCTGGACGTTTGTGATTAGGTTGTAGTTTTTTAAAAAGGTAGTTTATTAACTAGTTTGTGTGAATAATTGTAATTATTTCCCATGGAACTTTAAGCTCTACTCTTAGAATTAACTAGAGAACTACTTAGTTTTTTGCTATATATTTCATCATTGATACTATAGTCAAATTCGCTATTTTATACTAGCCTCCGATAAGTTAGTTGGCTGGACTGTAATTTTATGGAGAAACCAATCAGATCTAGAGTGTGTTCTTTTGGGTTTCTGCGCAAAATTCAACTACTCATATGGTTCGTAAAACGTTTACTCTAATTCCTAATCATAGCTCCTTATTTGAAGTATCCATAACAATGGAGCTCAGTAATTTTTAAGCATCCATAATTAGAAACAACATTCAACAAGTATCTCTTTTCAATTACCTTGTTATCAAGCTTTAATAGCACCTCTACAATAAATAAACGTCATATTTAAATATATTTCTAAAATCTAGTAAATCATACGATATTGTTCTTGTATTTCCACATGAACTCCAGCACTTCAACCCTACTGTGCTAGATTGTAGATATATTAACACAGTCAATTCATAACAACGTAATAACCTGAAATAATAAACAATTAGATATTTGAGCGAACTTGGATTTAATTTGGCTTGTTGTAGTGCTGTTTGATCACTGGTTAATAATAAGATACTAGTTATTGCATCAAATGCAGTGAATTTTCTTTACCTGAAAGGGGTAAACAAACCATCACAGATTGGAAAAAAATCTCACTGAATTTGTGTAAAACTCAAATGATAATGGGTTTGAACATCTCGCTCATACGTGGATCGGTCAAAATACATAAACTTGTTTAACCGTTACTTCATGTTGTGGATATGTTTAATTGAATCGAATACTAGATCAGTCAATGGTTGGAACTAGTTAGAAGGCAAGTGTATGTTCGTATTCCTTATATCATAAGCCTTATTTCCGATTTGTCGGTTACAGTATCCCACACTGACAGCCACTTTTGGTTTGATCTTGTATAATTATTATTCATTTTGTAGTATGATGATACCTGGTTTGCGGAAGCTGATATTGTGTTCTGGTCTTGGCAAGTTTTAATTCTGAGTACCAATAAGGACTCAGAGTTGACTCTTGGCTGTTTGTGCTGCTGTCCATCCACTAATATACAGAAGATAATACCTTGATACGATAGGCTGAGTGGTTTATTCTTGAGGTTAGCAACGCGTGAGTTCGAAGTTAGACTAACTGCATTGGGCAGAAAGATGAAAACTACTCTATCACTTGGTTGCTTGGCAAACGCGCGTGAAGGAGAAGATGAGACAACTGGGACGCTACTGGACTTGTTCCCGATTCAGATTAGTGTAAAAAGGTACATGAATAAATAGGTGACTAACATGACCACAATGCAAAAGCAATTAGGGAAATACAATTACGTCCAAAACTGGGGATTAAGGCAGAAAAATAGATTAGCAAAAGCTGCGTTTATATCACAATAACTTAGGAACAAAAATGGATATTTCAGTGAATCATGCTTCAAACGGAAACTTATGGTTTGTTTAATAAGCTAGAAACAAAATTAAATATTGGTGTTTTAGGAGCTTTGAATTAAGTAAAATAACGTACCCGTTGTTTGTTATGGCTTCTCTGTTCACATCATTAGCTCATTATTGGTTCAGCGTGGGGACAAGGTCATGTAAGTCTGTGTTCTGATTGGCGATCTTGTCACGTGATATTTAACGGGCCATTAGTCATAACAATTTAGTGACGGGAATTTCGCGGAAAAATGGAGAAAAAAAATTGTAACATGGACCTCAAAATCAGCCATAATATCTACCAGGGTTTTCTGAACTGAGGAGATAATCTCAGCACTAAAAAGTGGCACTCTTTTCTAAATAATTGAATAACTTGCAGCAGATTCTTATGAATAAACACTTGAAATCCATAGAAAAACTTCTAACGGGGCTACTGAATCGTTCATATTTTGGAGATATGATGAAAATTGATTACTTGATTTAAAATTTGCATACAGAAGTTGAAAACGGCCGCAGAATTAATGTGTGGGTGAAGGGCTGTGTAAACTGTTAATAAACATTGATTTAAACGATACAATGGCAGCCATACATGATCCTCGAAGTGTTCCTGTAATGGGCATTTCGGAAACATGCTCTGTAATAGCTTCAAATCTAGTTCTTTCCGAAGCAGAATGTAAAATCAGCGAATTGTCTAGCTCAAATACAAAGGGAAAAGAAACAGATGATTCTTTAAATGAAACTCCGAGTCCAAAACTGTGAAACTAAACTCCAGCCAAAACAACCTTATATTTCACTTGATACTTGTTGAGAAAGCTGAAAGGACTTATTCAAAAACTAGTTGGAGCAGTACAATGAATACCAGTGTATCAAATGAAACTCAGAATCACTGTGAGACAAAATCTTCCTAGTGACTTAACTTCTTATCAGATTTTTCATGTTATTTTACCAGATATTGGATTGTCCTAAGGAAACCACATATTTTTAATGAAATTTACTACAAAGGTAAGAAAAATATGTCGAATGAACCAAATCATGATCGGAAATCTGATGCTAATTCGATAGATGCTGTTTTTTCTAATGATTCACTATTCCTCAATGAGATTTTTGATAAATATGAGAAAAATATTTCAGAAGAATCAATTCACTGTGATCTCATATCAAACGTTATTTGTCCTCATAATGTATTTGTTTCTGGTGGAAAACTTGGTCAATGTGAAGCAAAAGTTCTAAGTGAGTTCAAACTTAATTGCAGTTCGGTTAATCTCATAACAAATGTTGTTTATCTTCATGATAACTGAACAAATCACAGAGTAAATGATGTAGGAACAATATTATTATAAATAAAAAAAATTAGGCATCCAAGATACCATTCAAGTGAATGCATATTTGCGATAAAAATAACATTGCCAAGAACTCGAAAACTTAAAATTTAGAGGTAGACATATAACAGGTGATCCTACATCACTGCAGTCGGTTTTGCGTCATGTTATTCGAAATCTCTAACCATTATAAAGGTAATCACTATCAAATAGTACTATGTTGCACGATGCATGCCAGTTTATGGACAAGATTAAGACGTTAAAAATGCTATAGGATTTACTGTATTTATTTACTCAATTATATTTTTATATTATCTGACATATCGGAAATGGAAACAGAGGGATAAATTCCCGTGCATTAGAACATGAACGGCGTGGTCACATTGCCTCTTGTTTTTTGTATCAAATATACTACTCTCCTCCCAGGCTAGATGTAATCTTCAGAGATTCTAGACGTTGTACTTGCTTTTATTAGGTTAATTTCAATGCAAGTGTATTTCAGTTAGTCAAATAAAAATAACCGGAAGTATGGAGACTGGGGATGTCACAAGTATTCGGAATTTGACAACGCTTTCACCAGTAACACCTATTATGAATCGTGCCCACCAGGTGAAATCAAAAGATAGAAGCGAGGAGATTCGAAGATATATTTGATAGGTGGATCGACTTATCTGGTTAGCAGTTGCAGGAGATGTTGAGCACGTTTTCCCACTAGTGATCTGGTGCGGATACATGACCGAACGCCTTCAGCTAGGTGGGTTCATTAAAACTAATGTGGTCAGCATTAAATTTCGAAGACCTACAGAGCTATTTATTTCGGGGATTTATTCACCGCGACGAGACTAATGGATTAAGAACTGTATAAGTAAACGCAATTCGAGAGATGCAAGGATTTAAAATAATGTATGTTCCTGAAATGTAAGGAAAACACTGTGATTAGGTATACAATTGGATTTTTTCATGGCAATTGTTATAACTCTATTATTTGCATTATAGCTTGTAGAGTCATGAATGGATTTAAGTTAAGCGTAATTGCCTAGTTTAGCTTGCAGTAAGGTTTCTCTGTAGGAAGTGAAACCATTTAGGATTGACAAATATCAGTCAAAGAGGTTTTGGGCACTGAAAATTAATATTAATACTGTTAGTTAGTTACAACCCACTAGACCGTACGAGGCCGTAAGTTATTAAGGTGTTCTACCCTTCGGACAGGTGAATTGAGATTGTCTTCCAACATCATATTTACTGGCCAGGAAAACCATGTAATATCTTATTAGATTAGATAGTCACATAGTGGGAAATATACGGTTGCAGCGTAGGTCTATTATTCTGGTAGCATAAATAAGTGTACTAATACTTACCATTATCAAAATTCAACAGGCTCCCTTATGTTTATTGTACGTCTGAATAATGCTATAATCTAATCTCCTTGATGCACACATTGTTGAAATACATTTTGCACACTAGTTCCACACGACAAGCAAGTCAGATATATTAGACTTTCGTATAGTGGATTTGATATTCATTCAATGTATGACACTGCTATGAAGTTAAGTAAAGGTAAAAATTATAAGATGCCGAACAGATAATACGTAGTTAAGTGTTGGTGAGGACAGATAACCTATCATGGATTAAGAAAAACGTGTTTCAGGTTGCAAACTTTACGAGTAGGACGATAAGTAAGGAGAAAAACAAAACACTTGAATCCTAATAAACTTCGGACATTAGAACTTTTTTAAATGATTGAACACGAATTAGAGGGAAAACACAATAGTTTAGGGTAGTTTGAGCTTTTGTGATTGATCATAGGTGATGAGCATCCACAGGTTAAGTGAGTTATCTGTCCACTTGAAATAGGAGCTAAAAAGGACATGGAACATCATGGAATAAGTTACGCAACTTTAAACATTTAAGAAATTCCGACATAGCTAAGTAGCAAGAGAAGAAAATCATTATGTTTTATCAATTGGCCTTCCAAGCTTGACCGAAGTTTAGGAGGTCTCTGAGTACCAAAATATGAGAGTTATTATTCTAGCGTGTGTATAAGCTGACGAATCTTTTATGACAACTTCGAGAGGGGACTCAAATTTCTTGGTGTCGAAATCTGGTTTTTAGTGGCTCCAACAAGATAGCATCACCGTAAACATTCAGAAATACGGAGTCAGAAATAATTCTCCTGACTTTTTCATGTGTACCATCGATCCTCATAATATTTGCCCCATAGAAAAAAAAGGGAAGGCTGTTATATATAAGTAAAGAAAATTTACTGTAAGGCACATTTGCCGGAAAAAATCGTGCTATCGTACTGAGAAATGATACGAATACTCTTTCTTTCCTCAAACCGACCAGTCAACTTTACCACTTCACGACATCATTATCTAGATTACGGTGCAGACCCTGATAACAGAGTGATTGTAAAACATTTTATGGTATCGGATAGGGGTGAAAAGTCAACACACCATCGTAGAATTGTTAGGTCGACGTAGCACTTAGTAGATTATTGTATGTATACTAAACTATGCATCTCTTCCGCTCTCGTTTTTGAAGTCCTATAGATGGTTAGTTGCATTTTAAAATTTTTATTGAGTCAAAAATGAAAAACCATCGGTATGATTTATACGAGGATGTATACCAATATTAATCTGTACAGTTTGCGTTCCTTAAGCACAATCCTATTAAACACTTGTTTTCAATTTTCCTTCTCATCTTCACAGGACAGCTGGAAATAAGGGCGAAAGTGAAGACGAACTTTAAAAGTCCGGTTATTTTTTCGTTATTATTAATAAAGTCACAGCTTTTATGAACATGAAGTGCTGTAGAATCATGGTCTACTATTAGTGCTGCTCTAATAATGGACGTAATCCAAAAATGTGGATTCGTCATGATGTACCTGCCTAATCTATAAGATCATACGTGGAAGTCACACCATCGTCTACTCTAACTCATCGTATCTTGACAGTCATCAATATGTGATGAAGAACACGTTTAAGCTGGAGATAGAACAATCTATTCAATATGGACAAAAAAATGGCATAAGTACGACCACGCATGCAAGGCCAAGCCATGCCATACGATCATTTCGAACTGATTGAATCAATTGGGTTCATTCTTCTCGCCTTCTTCATCGTTGGGTCTTCTCTATGTTAAATATTGAATATCTATTTTCCCAATTTTCTCGTGTTAAGCTTTATAGTTGGTGTGGTTAGGGCCCAAAGTCACTACAGTGCGTTTACCAACAGCATGATCGTTAGGTTTAAACTATTGGTTTCTTCTTGTTTTATCTTAGGGTTCTCACCGCTCCACTAGGAGTAGTGGTAAATAAATTTGAGTTACAAATAGCTCTGCAGGTCTTTAACATTGATGCTGACTAAATATTCCATAGTCAAAAGACTTTCAGTCACAGTCGCATCAGTTCACGGTTAAGACTCGTCGTTCGGTGCATCTGCTACACTAACTGGACAGCCTACATTTTGTACATAACCGGCCATTGATCTTCATCTGCGTTCCTTATTCTCAACTCCTTGTTTTATTACTTTTGGAATCATTTCGGTGTATTCTTGCCGAATCCTGCGTATTTAGCACTTATTCACTAGTGAGCCTTGATGTGATTTGATACTCAAATAGTTAAGTTGTGAGTTTGTTTCTTGTGATTATGTTCTATGTATTTTTTTCATATATTGCAATGCTCTTTGTTTCCTTGAATTTGTTTGTAATATTTCCGATAAGTTCACTTCAGATATTCATTTATGCAGACTGAACTCAGGAGTTTCAGTTTGAAAAGAGCCTTACATTCTACCTGAAATATTACTAATTACAATAGGCAATGTACCTCGAGGTATACATAGTACTAGAAAGAAGGCAATTATTTGAAAAGATAATTAATGTACAGGCACACAAACTAACGCAAAAATAATCATACTTGGAGAACTGC